AATATATGCTAATGAACAAGCAATAATATTAGGTTTTATCATAATTCTAAGACTGTACATTGGCTATTAGAGCAAGATATACCAAGACCATTACTCAGGTGTGAATGCTGAATAAGGATCTTGCCCATCTTCACTGACCTTAAATTTGGCCAAGTTGAAGGTGGGGATGGGGAACATAAATTAAGTGAAACAAAATTGAGTCCGGTGGAAATCAGAGATTTAAGGAACTAGGTCCAAAGTCAGGATATTAGCCCATAACTGAAAAAGAATCATTTGCTGTGTATGATCTCTATAAAAGAGCTATCTGCTACCACTGCTTTCGCTGCTTTACTGGGCAACACCCTCTAACCTGCTTCAGATATTTATATTGACCTGTGTCACTGTTGCCTTTAAAATCACAACAAAAACTGTCATTTTCTAGAAATCTTTCCTTAATTTCCTTTTTCAAGTCTTTACTCCCCATGCAGTTAGCACTCATGGTCATTATATGTTTTAGCATGTTTTTTTCATACTGTTAATGAAGTTATTTAAAACTTTGTATGCATATCCTTTATCAAATTGACTTTGAAATCCTTGAGAAATATATCTATGATTTAAATTTATTTTCCATTTTCTCGGTTTTCCTATGCCTGGGCTCCTGTTAAACTGTCAACAATGCATGTTTTTGAGACTTTTTGCTTCTCGAGTTGTAAGAAGTTGCTAACAAGAATGCTAATAACAGCAATTCTAGGCAGAAAACGGCAAGGAGAATGCTGAAGAGAAAGTCAAATACAACCGGGGCTTGGGGCTCAGAACTGAGCATTCTAATGAATTCATTCTATTTTAGGTGACTGATTTTTTTTTACCAATTTGCTTTTAATTTTGAGAATCTTAGTATTCATTGGCATGAATAGAGTAGTAGATATTAAGACTTTACATCAAGGAATCAGAAGAAAATAAATCACTACCAAATAAGAGTCCTGTAATCCTAAAACTCTGACAAATATAGAAATAAGAAAAAGGCATTTTAAAATGAAAAAGCCTTTTTCTTATCAAAATGATTTTTTAAATCTCTCTACCTATCAGTTTTATCATATAAGTTTCACCTTACAGAAAATTTAAATTTATCTGAAACAAAGCAAATAGAAGAATTAAAATAAAACATGATTATGAAAAAAGCTCATTAACAATTTTTATGTTTTTGAAGCTTACCTTAAATTTAGTTAGTTTAGTGTTCTACATTTCTTATTTGCATCTAGTCTTCAAAATCATTATAATTTCCTGCAAAATAGAAACAATATAAAATTATTTTTGTATCTACTTGGTAAATAGTTTGTAATTGATAAAGAAAATTAAACCCTCGAGAAAATAAATGCCAATTATTCTCAATAAGTATCTATGTGAGGACCCATTCAAAACATCTTGCTATACTAATAGTTACTATTTATTAAGTGTCTACTGTAAGCTAAGAACTTTACATATATCATTTCAGTTTAAGCCTCATAATCACTCAACAAGGTCAATATACCACCATATCTTAACAGGTGTTTAGAATGTCTGACATAGTTTAACAGAGTTGCAAAGGAGTTAAGTAATTTGGCCAAGTTCAAATATTTGAATAAGCGAGAATTTTAACCCAGTTTAGTTTAATTCTCAGGTTTATGTTCTTCATAATTTACTGCATCATCTCCTGCCACAGCTGGGTGCCTACAGCTATGAGTAAGAAAGATGTATAACGTACCTATAGAGCCCACATTACATATACTCTGAATTACTGAGTACACTTCAAAAACAAATGATTTTTTTCTTGTCAGTTCTTACTACCAAAATATTAATACAAATTTCACTTACAGTAAGTAAATATGATGCCACGGTCATCTTCCCTTGATTATTTCCTTCCAAATTTAAAATTATTCTTTAATTGTTTCCTTCCATATTTTTCCTGGCACAAATTAATTTAGTTGTTTCTTTTTCAAACATTTCTAAATAAAACAATTTTTTCTAAGCAACATTGAAGAACAAATAAGTATAAAATGATATTTGAAATTCACTTAATGAAACACATTTTCCCTTTTAAATTACAAAACAATTCAGAAATGTGTACAAAATAAACACTAATATTTGCATTGTAGAAAGTGGATACACCTGTTTTTTGTTTTTTATTTTCTTGCTTTTATCCTCTCATGAACTAAAAGAACAAGGCAATACTTCTGGAACCATTGATCAACATAGTATTTTTCAAGAATAGATGAAACAGAGGCGCCTTCATTGTGGACATTTTTCTTTTTTCAGTTTCCATTTTCCCTCATTAAAATCTACAATTCCCATGTCAGGCACTTCTGCATAAGAAAGAGATGGCTGCTTATAATAAAACATATTTAAGCTTTGGTTTTCTGATAAAAACCTCCAAAAAACCCAAAAAAACTTGAAACATATTTATGAATTGCTCTATGACTCGACTCAGTGTACTAGCCAATTTTGACTAGGATAAAATCAGGACTCCTATCAGTCCAAAATCTGGATGAACTAGATCTGTAGATTAATTCATTTTTGTTTTACTTCCTAAGTAAATCCTAAGACAGACTGAAGAAAGATCATGGTGTAATAAAATGAACCTTGGACATAAGCATCAAAAGACCAGGAGCTGAAATCAGTATTAATCTGGTGAATTACTTAAATTCTAAACATCCTTAGTAACCTTATCTACAACGTTGGGAAAATAATACCTTTAGAGATGGGGAATTTCAAACATCATAACTTATGTAAGAATTCTTGGTACACAATAGCTGTTTAAAACCCATTAGTCACTTTCACCTAAAAAAAAAATACAAAAACTTGCAATAAAATAAAACATTTTAAAGTACAACATTGTCAAATCCATTTAAATAAGGTATCCTGGAAATCAAGTGTCTTGTACAAAGAGTTATACAAACCAGGCAGTGAAACTGAGGATACTATTTTTTCTTATGAAAGTATCTATTTTACCATTTGTTCTGATTTACTATTGTGTATTTAATGTAATTGTAATTACTAATGCAATTCTCAAGCTGTTTGATATTCTTTCCATAGTTCCTGCCTCCAATAATGTTTTAAAACTTTTCATAATATAGCTCTAGGACTTAAAACCTTAATCACAATTTGGGTAATCTCATTCTATATTTATAAAATCAAAGGGCTTCCGCTTAAGAAAACCACTTATGCTTGCCAAACACTAGTACTATGCTGGCTTTGTTTACTAAGTAAAACCACTGGGAAAGAAAAAAAAGAGGTATTTCTAGACAACTTCTCTCTTACTCATATAAAACTCATATAAACTTAATCAGGA